TTTTTTTTTTTTTTTTTTTGAGACAGGGTCTTGCTAAATTGTGCAGACAAGACTCAAAGTTGTGGTCCTGCTGCCTCAGTCTCCTGAGTTTCTGGGTTTATAGGCTTGCCCTGTTGCACCTGGAAAACTTCTTTTTTCCTTAAAGAATTCTTAACAAGACTGATTATTTTCTTCTTATAGAAAATACTTATAATCCTGCTACAAAACCTACAGGCCAAATATATTTTGAAGCCCAGGTTTGGGGGAATTTCCATTGCAGGCTCCTGAGCTACTTTTTACCCCACTCAGTGACCCACTGTGGTGCAGCGCAGCACCTTGCTGTTTGCTCTGGCTCAGTACAGCATCAGTCCAGGCCGCTATAGAGCCCTGGGCAGGGTCCCCGGTGTAGTGGATGGAGATGGGAATACCCATGACCTGCGGCTGTGACAGAGCTGCTGCCCCCACGACCCTGTGCGTGGCCAGTCCTCCGTGTGTCTGCCCAGCCTGGGGAATGAGGAGGCTTTATTGACTGGGGACATTTTATGTTAGAAAATAATGTTCTAAAGGCACTTACTGTCTGTAGTACATCGTTACAGTGAGATGCTCTTGGTTTCAAAACTGTGCCTTTCAACATTTCCTGATGGTGTGGGCTGTGGTTGTTCACTTTCCCACGTGGCCATGGAGTTCCCAGTGCTCACAGCATGGCCCACCCACACTCACATGCTGGAATGTGCTGTGCTTGTCATGAGAGCAAAACCAGGGGCTCTTGACCACTTCCTGAGAGGGGGTACAGGCTAGCAGGTCTGTGAGTCCGAAGCCCTGTGGTGGTAAGGCGAGAGCATGCTCCGGAGCCTGTGCCACCCTGGGGCCTCAGAGTTCACCGTGTTGCCACTCACTCAGGGGCAGATGGGCTTCCAGCCCACACTGCTCTTTCCCATGGTTCCCAGCCACTGGGAGTGCAGCACTGAAGGTGGCCGAGTAGGCCTGTGTGGGGCTCAGGAGCCAGGTCCTCGTCCTGTGATGCTGAGCGTTACTCAGGGAGGATAACAGAGCATGACAGGTTGCAGTCTTCCTGCGAGCCAGCAGTGCCATCCAGCAGGTCTCTGAGCAGGGCAAAGTGCAGTGCGAGCCTACGCAGTTCCTCAGCCTTACAGCCAGTCCTAGCACTTTCAGCCCTTCTGGCTTTCTGGGTGGCAGCAGTATTGCCTGCATTGGCCTCACGGCTGCATCCTTGTCCTTGTCAGTTTGCAGAGAGCTGGATGGGCTATTCTGGCCCTGGCTACGGCATCCTCAGCTTGGCAGTCTCCGAGAAGTACGTCTGGTGCCTGGACTACAAGGGTAGTCTGTTCTGCAGCGCATTGCCGGGAGCCGGGCTACGCTGGCAGAAGTTCGAAGATGCTGTCCAGCAGGTGGCGGTGTCGCCCTCAGGTTGGCCTTCAAGGGGCGATGGGATCTGGACGGAGCCAAGGATGTCCAGAATCCCTTACTTCCACCTCCATCAGGCGCATTGTGGCTGTGCAGTTGGAGTTGGGGATTTTACTAATTGTGACAAACGGATGATATTTCTGTAAACCATATGAATAGTTTGAATTTTGAGGGTTTTAGTGATACTAACATGCTGTGCTTTTCTAAAAATGTACTTCTGTTTGTCATCTCTGAAGCCACTGAACTCAGGAGGCCGGGCCTGGGGATATGCAGGGTACAGTCCAGTGTCTCAGCCTCCCTTCTGGAAAGCCTTCAGAGAGCTGTGCTCTGGGTGAACGCTCCATGCCCAGATGCAGAGGAGACACCCTTTACCAGCACACGTCAGTCCCTGAGCGGTCCAAGGGGTCATGGCAGCAGTTCCCGAAACCCTCCCTTTCTGTCCAAGTCAGTGTTTGCTCCTTCGGTCTTTCCTTTTCTTTCCTCTCCTTCCCTCCATCTTTCTGTCCCTTTCTGCCTGTCTTCCTTTCTCTTTTAGTTTATTTTTAGTAGTACTGGGGATCAAATCCAGGCACTCCACCAGTGAGTTACATCCCCAGGCCATTCTTATTTTGAGACAAGGTCTCACTGAGTTACCTGGGTGGGACTCATACTTCTAACCCTCCTGCCTCAGCCTGGCAGAGTTCTGGGATCACAGGTGTGTGCCACCACGCCCAACTTGCTTTTTTTTAGTGTGGCCACTTTTTTTCCTGTGTGGTGGGGCAAGTGGACCACAAGTGTGTGTGTGTGTGTGTGTGTGTGTGTGTGTGTGTGTCCATGTGTGTTGGGCCTTGAGAACACAGTTCTACCTGAGGACAGGAACACAGAAGTTGGAGGCTGAGTATGCACATGGATCTGTCCTCTCCAACGACACCATGACTGGCCCCTGATCACCCTCATCTGCACTGTTCTGCTTGCTTTCTTGCACTGCTTGCTTCAAAGCTGTTTTCCCCAGGAGACTCGCTGAGGCAACAGCCCACCTGCCCGGTGGCATCATGTAACTGAGTGCCTTACTTTTCCCTGTTGTCTTTTCCTGTGGGTTTATCTCCCAGCCATTTGGAAGTGCTAGTGCTCTCTTGGCTGCTCTGGGTGGAGGTCTCTGCCTGAGACAGCATCCTGATCAGCTTCCGGGGCACCAGAGCCCGGTGGCATCCAGGGGATGCCGTGGGCACAGCAGCCTGACAGACTGTAGGCTGTCCCTGCTTGCTCTGGGTCATCCTGGTGCTGTTTTTGCCTTCCCAGCTCAGCTTGGGCCGTACCTGCCACCTGCTGTGTCCTCTGTCTTCCTTTTTCATCGGTTGGTCAGAACACTCCCTACATACGTGTGTCCCTTTTGTGTGGCTCTCCCTTTGGCTGGGAGATGGAGTCCTTCCCTTTAGTTCCTGGGAGGAATCACTCCAGCCAGTCCTGGGCATTGGCTGTTCAGCAGCATGTCCATTTAGACCCTCACTGATAGCTGGGCGTGGCAGTGCTCGCCTGTATTCTCAGCACTCTGAAGCTGAGGCAGGAGGATTGCTGTGAGTTTGAGGCCAGCTTCGGTACACTGAGTTCGGGCCAGCCTGAATAGCAAGACCCTGTCTCAAAATAACAAAACAACTCTTCAGACCTTTAATGTCACTGCTATTCTTATGCCCCTGGCATGAGAGCAGGCGATGTGTGCCTCTGTGGACCTCTGGCCTCAGCTCAGCCCTGTGAGGTGGCAGTGGGGGCTGGAGGGCACTGAGGCACGTGGCACTGACACCAAACATCGTGGGTGGTGGCAGAGAGTCAGACCTCTGCCCCTGTGGTGTGGAAGCAGCAGGTGTGTTTGGAAATCTCTCACATACCAGGATGCAACTCTAATGTTTGTCCTGCAGTGAGTGAAGGTTTGTTTCCCCAGGAGCCCTGCTCTGGAAGATTGAGCAGAAGTCCAACCGTGCTTTCGCATGTGGGAAGGTGACCATCAAGGGCAAGCGGCACTGGTATGAAGCACTGCCCCAGGCTGTGTTTGTGGCCCTGAGCGATGACACAGCCTGGATCATCAGGACCAACAGTGACCTATACCTGCAGACAGGTAAGAAGCAGTACACTCACAGGCGCTCAATTTACAGGTTCAAGATCGATTTCAGCAAAAACATTTCAAGAATGAGTATCTGGAATGCATTTAGCAGCTGTCTGCTACCGATGCAGGTTGGTTCTAGAACAAATTTAAGGCAAGAATTCCTAGGAACGTTCTGTCCTCATGGCTGAGCGCTGGATGTCATGAGCCTTGCAGTGTCCAGCCTGGAGGAGAGGATGACAGGAGGGCCCTCAGAGCCCCTCCCCGGGAGCTGAGGGACTGGGTTTTCTTCAGCCAGGTCAAGGCCCAGCTCCCTCGGAAAATGAGAAGTTGTTTGTTCTAGATAGCAGTTAACTTGTCCTGGGAAGCCACCCTTAGGGAGACCATTAGCTGCTGGAAGTGGCACAGTGGGACTGGTTTACTAAGAAAATAAGCTGTAGTGATGGTCCACGTTTGTGTGTGCGGTACAGTGGGACATGGCTTGCCAGTGGCAGCATGTCCATCCTCTGGGAAGGACAGGGCAGGAGTCCTGCCTGGCCTGCTGCTCTCCCTCCTGTTGTTCAGCACTGCTGACTGGGAGCCTGATGAGGTCTCTGTGGTGGCCGCTGAGCATGCCTGCTCCGCTCCCCTGTCTTCCTGCAACCTACATAGCAGCGGGCAGCCTGGTGGGCCAGGTGCTGGTCTGGACTCTGGGCTCTCCTTGCGTCCTGGGTCTTCCCTTAAATGAAGAGAGTGCCTGAGGCACAACTCTCAGGCCTAGGACCTGGATGTGTGCATGTGAGCGAGGCCATGCTGTGGCCCCAGTGAGGAACCGTCTGTCACCTCCCCACGGGGGTGCATGGCTTCCTATGAGCCAGGTCCTCCCTCTCAGGCCTGCTGCCGAGTCTCTGGGGCCCTCTGGGGGATGTGGAGTGAGAAGGCCTGCAATCCCAGCTTAGGAGGCTGAGACAGGGCATTGCAAGTGTGAGTTCAGCCTGGGCGATTTAGCGACCGGCATGACCTTGTTTCAAAACAAAGAAAAAATAATGGGGCCAGGATGTAGCTCAGTGCAAAGGCCGGATTCAGTCCCCAGCACTCAGTGTGGGGTGTTGTCCTGTAGGTGATTTACATGAGCCGAGCACACCCTGGGTGCGTCTGTGATTACAGCACCAAGGCCCACCTGCAGGTTGAGGCGGCGTGGGACATAGATTTAGGTGCCAGTCCTCTACCTTAGGAGTGGCTTTTGATTTCATTTGGACACACTACTGACAGGCCAAAGGTGGCAGGCGAAAGAGCCTTGGACAGGGGCCTGAGACCAACTGCCTTGCAATGTGCCAGCGGGAAGCCAGGAGTTGGCATTCACAGTGGAACCTAACCCTGCAAGAGCAGGACGGGGAGGCCCCACAGTTGCTGGGTCCCTCTGCCCCAGGCCCAGCAGTGCCCCTGCCCTGGGCTTCCCCGTCCGCCCTTGAAGCCTCTAAACTCCTAGGACACCGTGTTCTTTTGTTTTCCAGAGTATCTCGCAGTGAAGCACAATCTAACCTTTTTGTGTTGACTAAACTATACAAAGAAAAGGCGCTCCTTGAGAACATGACAATAACACATACACACAGCACACCACACAGCCACAAACACTGGTACCAGAATGGGAGGAAGAGCTGATGATGTTAGGCTCCTCCCTCATGCAGGCCTCAGCGTGGACCGCCCCTGTGCCCGTGCCGTGAAGGTGGACTGTCCCTACCCGCTATCCCAGATTGCCGCCCGGAACTGCGTGGTATGGGCGCTGACAGAGCAGAGGGCCTTGCTGTACCGTGAGGGCGTGAGCAGCTTCTGCCCCGAGGGGGAGCAGTGGAAGTGTGACATCATCAGGTAGGCCGCTCTGTCTGGCTGGCTGCTCCTGGTGTGCCTCACCTTGCTCTTCCAGGCCCCACAGGTTCCGAGGGAGTAGAGCGCTTGAGCTGACCCAGCTGACTTCTGCAGCCGGCAACCTGTGCACAGGGCCCTCAGTGACTCCAGCACTGCAGTCACGCACCTCGTAGTGATCTCCATTCAGAGCTGTCATGCTGAAGACACTGGGTTCCATCCAGGGTCTGTGATGGGTTGGGTACAAGTACTGTTTTATATTCATCCTACTCAGTTGAAATTGGTGTCTGAACTATAATTTTTTTTTTTCTTTTTGGTACCGGGGATTGAACTCGGGACCTGCACTTGTGAGGCAGGCACCAGAACCACTGAGCTAATTCCTGGCTCTGAACTGGAATTTATTAGCTTACTTTCTGGTGTTTTAAGATTTAGTCTTTGACCAGATGTAAAGGCACCTGTCAATAGTCCAGCACTATGGGAGGTGAAGGAAGGAAGATCATGAATTTGAGCCAGCTTTGGCAACTTAGTGAGACCCTGTATCAAATAAAAAGGGCTGGCTGGGCGTGGTAGCACATGCCTGTACTCCCAGCACTCGGGAGGCTGAAGCAGGAGGATTGCTGTGAGTTCAAGACCAGCCTAGCCTACATAGTTCCAGGCCAGTCTCAACTACGTAGTGAGACCCTGTCTCAAAAAGCCAAAAAAATAAATAAATAAAAAGGGCTGGGAATGTAGCTCAGTGTGAAGGCCCTGGGTTCAAGCCCTAGTACCAAACAAAAAAAGCCTTAGTGAAATCAGATCTGGATGAGCTTGACCTTGGTTTGAACATAGCAGCCAGTGAGACCTGCTGTGAGCCAGGACTGGCTGGACTGTGTCAGGATGGCTGAAACTCGACTCCTTTGCAGGCCACGGGCTGAGTGGGGTGCCTCCTCGTGGGCAGCCTGGAGTGCAGAGGATTCTGGGCAAGGTGTGGTGTGTGGGGAGAAAGCTGCCCAAGGAGCCACACGGAGCCTCAAAGCTGAAGACATCTGGACAGGGCAGGAGCGGGATGGACAAGTAGAGGCAGTGTCTGCCTGGGGACAGCGGCCTGGAACAGCCAGCTGGGGGTTTGCAGTCACTTCCATGGGGAAGGAGGCAGTTGAGAGATGGGTACACATTGGGCTAGGATACTTCCACCATCTCCCTTTGTCTCAGAAGTGGTCCCCACCTTCCTGGCTTAACTGTCTTTTTTTTTTTTTTTTTTGATACTGGGGATCAAACTCAGGTCCTTGTGCTTGCAAGGCAGGCAGCAGAACCAATGAGCTAAATCTCCAGCCCACAAACGTGTCTTTCATAAGCTGCCACACCTGGGTCATCTACACTGCTGTGTGACATCTTCTGCTTGGCCTTTGCTGGCCCTGTCCTAAGTGCTGGGCACTCTTCCTCTCTGGCCAAGTCCTCAGGCACACTGGCGGAGCTGACTCTATGCTCTTCTGCTTTCTCCAGTGAAAAGCAAGCACTGGAGCCCATCTGCATCACTCTCGGTGACCAGCACACCCTCTGGGCGCTGGACATCTGTGGGAAGCTGTGGTTCAGGACTGGCGTGGTGCCCAAGAAGCCTCAAGGAGATGATGATCACTGGTGGCAGGTAGGTGCCAGGCCCCCTTTTTGCCCTTCTGCCTGTCGAACGACCCAGTCCAAACAGCAGTGCTCATGTTCACTGTGCGATGGGTTAGACTTCCAGAGTTTTGGCCCACTAGAAACATTAAGGACCTTTCATAGAAAAGAACTTGCAAAGATTTCTTTGCTTAAATTACACAGACTGTATGTCCTTTGGTGGTGTTTAGACATTTATCACAAAGGCTGGTAAACCCAGAGCCCTCTGGCGATAGTGATGTTTCATTCTGAACAGTGCACTCAGAAGAGACTAGGCAGAGTCTAGGTTTGCAAACCTGACCCACAATCAAAACTTCCCCATACCCCTGTGCTGGAAAGACCTCCATGAGTGGTCTTTCCCCGAAGGAGAATTTCCCTGTGTGACAGGGCGGCCTAGTCCTGGCCCGAGTGGCCTGCATGGGTTTCCCAGGAGTGTGTGCAGCCCCTCCGGGACCAGCGTCACCTCAGTGCCTTACCTCCACACTGGCTTGACGTTGCTGTCTCCACTGTGAGGTACTCGACATCTTGTATTCTGTCTTCATGGTCCAGGTGTTTTGTCTCCTCAGCCCTACATTATTGAGGTTTGTTTTCCATTGGTTGCACTGCATCTGAGAAATAACACATGTATCAAACATAAATCTCTGGTTTGACACTCAGGTAGTATCTGGTGAAATTACGCAAGAGATTTTAAAATCTTGTCTATGTACTTAGGAGCCTGTGTACCCTAAGTTGTTTCTAAGCAGCAGATTGAAGCTAGGTACCATTTTCTTACAATACTTCAGGGAGCTTTAAGTTGGCAGCCATCTGAGGAGTGTGGAGCAGTTACTTCAGTCCTCTGAGAGTGTTTCCCTGAGTGCTGGAGCCAGCATTAGGTTGGCTGCTTAGCCCTCCTCTCTGCCAGCCCTGTGCGTCTGGGTGGGGACCGAGTCTGTCACAGATGTGGCACAGTCCTGGGGAAGACACGGCTGCCTGGGCTGCCTGTCACACTGCTGTGGTATGGAGTCCCTACTGCTCGTTCCCAGGCCACAGAGACCAAGGGGGGCTGCCATGGTCAGGAGCCGCCGTGCCCCTTCACTGAGGGCTGTGCTTCACCTGTTGACTCCTTCCTCAGGCCAGGCGGGTGGGGTCTATGCCAGAAGGTACTGACTTTTTCTTTGCTTGGTTGCTCTGTTGCTGGAGACCCAGAGCTGTGGGCATGGCAGCGCCTCCATTGCTGCACTGGCTGGGCCTCCACTCATTTCCCTGCAGGTGAGCATCACAGATTACGTGGTGTTTGACCAGTGCAGCTTATTCCAGACCATCATCCATGCCACACACTCGGTGGCCACAGTGGCCCAAGCACCCGTGGAGAAGGTGGCGGACAAACTGCGCATGGCGTTCTGGTCCCAGCAGCTTCAGTGCCAGCCCAGCCTGCTGGGGGTCAACAGCAGCGGTGTCTGGATCTCCTCGGGCAAGAACGAGTTTCATGTCGCCAAGGGAAGTCTCATAGGTGAGTGAAGGTTTTTGTCTTCACCGTGGCTTCATGCACAGCTTCAGTTTATTATTTTGTTTTAGTTTTTGCAGTGCTCAGGATCACACCTAGGGCCTCATGCAGCATTTAAAGGAGTGCTTTCAAGATCTCAGCTGGAAAAGATCATGTGGTGCTGGTGGGCGGAAGTGCCTGTGATGGGGACATTCTGTGCTCTATGATCATTCTTGCTCCCTTTTCCTTTTCAGCCTGACATTCCCGAGGCTTGGGGCCTGGTGTCTGGATAGTGTATATTCAGCTTCTTGTGGGAACCGATTATGGTAGAAGAAAAGCAAATGGAGCTCATTTGTAATAATTTTACATTTAACTGAAAAAAAAAAATCCACCAAGCCCACAGAGCCCAGTGACAAAGAAGAGTCCATTTCCTGGAGGGAAAATTACGGCCACTGTAGAACAAGCAAGGCCCAGCCAGGTCTAGGAATGAGCTGGGGTTGTTTTTGTGAGGGAACCCCAGTTTCTGAGCTCCCCACAGCCGCCTCCTGCTCGCCCGGCCTCCAGTGGCCACAGCTGTGGTGGTAGGCAGTGCTGGCTCGAAGTGCCCAAGTGAGGGACGTCAGCTCTGTTGTGCCAGGCCCCACAGGCCAGCTGTAGTTTGGAGTGAGACTCTGAAGCACTTCTGTTATGTTCTTCCCTTCACCCACCCTTCCTCTTCATTCTCTCCAGGCACTTACTGGAATAATGTTGTTCCCCGCGGGACAGCATCCGCAACAAAATGGGCCTTCGTGCTGGCTTCTGCAGCTCCTACCAAGGAAGGTTGGTCCATGCTCTCTGGGTAGAGTTGAACATTCAGATTGATCTGCCTGTGGCCTGTGGGGGTCTCGGTGCAGCAGTGTAGCCCCCACCTGGGGGACATGGTGGTGTCCTGGCCAGGTGCCCTGCAGGCTGCACCTCTGCAGTGGGTAGGCAGGACTGGGGTGGTGGAGCTGCCCTGAGGCAGGGTGCCCTGGCAGAAAGGACCATGGCAGCCACCACAACCTCCAATGGCAATTGCAGAGGCTACACCTTCTTGGGTGTTCTCCCACTTGCCCTAGAGAATTCTTATATCAGCTCCTGGCAGCCTCTTTCTTTCCCTCCTATTTACAGCCTCAGCAGAGTCCCTGCTGTCCCCTGTGCAAAGCCCACAACCCTCTGGACATGGCTTTGCAGTCAGGAGAGGCAACACTGCCACCCTGGGATGTAGCTGGGATGTGGAACGTTAGGTGACCTGGTTGGGAAGAGGCCAGAGCCTCCACCCAGAACCACACTGCTGGTTAATCAAGGTGATGCCAGGAAGTCCGTGACGGAGAGGAAGCAGCCTGCTTAGTTCAGCAGCCAATCCCCAGTGTTCGGGATGTGGTCATATGGTGCACACTCAGCTGGCCCGACCACATTTCTGCCTGGAACCTTGTACTCAGTTGTTTCCTGAGATTCACCCGAGTCCACATGGAAGTGGTATCTGCCCTGCAGTGATTGGAGGAGGCCATGTTCTGTGTGTGACCCACTCTGTGGTGCTGATGCCTCGCTGCCTCCTCCTGGCAGAGCTTCCCCATAGGGTTTCAACCTGCAGAAGTTTAAATTCCAAAATGTATCTGGCCACAATTTTTAGTTAATATCTTGGATCATGTACTATAACCAGGGTTTTAAGTTCCCAAGGGTTGTTCACATTTTAAATAGCTTCTCCCGCTGGGGATTTAGCTCAGTGGTTCCACCACCTGCCTTGCAAGCACAAGGGCCCGAGTTCAATCCCTGGTACCAAAAAAATAAAATAAAAATTAAATAAAATAGCTTCTCCTAAGGATTCTACTAGAGGTGGAAGGGTGGGAGAGGGTACTCTGAGGTGAGAACAGGAAGAGCAGGCTTTCTCCAACAGCCTGCCCATCAGCCCAGGTCCTCAGCCAGCACGGCACTGTGTTGCCACCTTCCAAGGAGGGGCCAACCCAACTTTCTCAGGGACAGATTAGCAGTCCTTTGCTCTTGGTGAGGTTTGTGTCCTGCACATACTTCCTTGGGGCCTTTGTTTAAGACTCCCAGCCTGACGTAAGTGGGAGGTCGAGCCACTGAGCCAACCTGTGGCCTTCATCTCATCTCCCAAGCCCTCTTGCCATTTCTTTGCCTGCCTCGGCTTGGTCATGGCGTACCACGTGGGCACAGCGAGGAGCAGCTGGCGTCTTGGTGGGTGTCAGTGTCTGCCTGTGGCAGTGTGCCTTTACTAACACGTGCTCTTCCACAGGGAGCTCCCTGTGGCTGTGCCAGAGCAGCAAGGACCTGTGCAGCATCAGCACCCAGAGTGTGCAGTGCCGGCCGTCCACGGTGCAGCTGCCACCTGACTCCGAGATATGTGCTTACGCTGCCTGCCTGGATGCACTGTGGGCCCTGGACGGTCTTGGGCAGGTGTTCATCCGCACGCTATCCAAGAGCTGCCCCACTGGCCTGCACTGGACAAAGCTGGACCTCTCACAGCTAGGTAGGGCTTTCCTGTCCCATGCCTTAGGGTCTGCAGGGCTCCACGACCCAGGTGTCTGTGGCTTGTTCTGGAGTCACATGTGGGCCCCTGTCTGTCTTCCTGAGTGGAACAGAGCCCTGTGACCTTTCAGTCTGGAGAGTGGGTGGCCTCAGGACCAGCTTGGCACCACAAGTCCCCTCACCAGTTGCAGGAGCCTCTCGGAACGGGCTGGGGCTGTGCTGTGGGTGCCTGCTCAGCCAGGCTGTGTGCTGCCTGCCAATGGCTGCTCACCTCCCCAGAGTAATTCATTCTGTGAGTAATTCATTCATAGTCTAGGAAACGACCTTCACCCCACAATATTGGGTAAACCCTCGGTGGACAGGGGTACAGTTTTTTGGAAGCCACAGGCCACAGCTGGCAGCTCCTTGGACTGTGTGAACCTTGGACTTGTGTAGTTCCCTGGAGGTTTCCCGTGATACACTGACAACCAAGCTGGGTGCACTCCTGTAACCCTAGCACTTAGGAGGCTTAGGCAGGGGGATCACTGCAAATTTGAGGATAGCCTGGGCTACATAGTGAATTCAAGGCTAGTCTAGACTGTATAGCGAGACCCTGTCTCAAAAAACCAAACCCAAGCCGGGCATAGTGATGCATGCCTGTAATCCCAGCACTCGGAAGGCTGAGGCAGGAGGATTGCTGTGAATTTAAGACCAGTCTGGGCTACATAGTGAGTTCCAGGTGAGTCTCAACTACATAGAACCTGTCTCAACCCCGCCCCCCAAAGAAAACCCCAGCCAAACCAAACAATCCACTGACAACCAGTATTTCATAGGCTGGACTCAGACAAGCATTTAACGTGTGAGAACTCAACCAGATGTATTCATGGTGAAACGAGAGTGAGACGGAGGGCTGGCTGTCTCTCCCCTCTCCCTCCTGTGTCTTGGGGTCCCACCACCTATGACTCGGGCACTGCTCAGGGCAGCCCAGGTCAGGCTGGCAGTGCTGAGCTGCTTCCTGCCAAGCAGCTCTTCTACTGGCTGCTAGGGAGAGAGGGCCTGGACAGCACCCACTGTGCCCTCTACTGTAGACTTGAACCCTGTGCCAAACTGGGGTTCTGTGTCAGGCCCCACACCACCTTTCAGTCCTTCTGGCCAGTGCCTTCCTCACTTTCCAAGAGCATTTCCCATCCAGCCCCATCCCTGATGTGGCTAACCAAAGGACCCTGCGGCCGGTGGGGGCCAGGACAGAGTTTTACACAAATAAAAATGCTGCTTTAAAACTCTATAAAGCGGGGGAGGATTTAGCTCATTGGTGCCGCCACCTGCCTTGCAAGCACAAGGACCTGAGTTTGATCCCTGGTACCAAAAAAAAAAAGAAAAGAAAAATTAAAGGAATGATTAAATAGCTGGCTATTGATCTCGGTTGTAAAGATTAAATATGGAAAATTTAGCAGTGATTTATTATAATCTTGGTTTTGGGGAAGAAAATATGCCATATTTAGCAGATATTTAAGATACTTACATTTCATTTCCAGTGTGCATAAATATGCATTATGTTGGGCATTGGACTGTTTAACAAACTGATGTCATTTGTAATTTAATTCATCTGATCACAGCATGTAACAAAGAAATATTCAGCGTTAGTTTATGCCTTTAGGTAGCAAATAGGCTTGTATGGTAATTTATGTAGAATGGTGTTTTATAAATAAAGCACCAAGCTAATGCCACTTTTTGTTCTAAAACAGATATTTAAAAAGTAATCATAGAAAAAAAAAGTAATAGCGTGGAAGTGTCTGCTTTGTTGAATAAACTAATTGTAAAAATTTATTTTTAATAGTAAAAACAAAAGCAAAGGCAGGGAAATGTCAGCGTGCCTGTTGTTCTGTGAGGTTATGCCTTAGTGACAACCCCAGCATATTGGTGGCCTCCCACAGTCACGTCATTTTCCAGGTTTTATGGTTGGATTTGAGGCCTCTAAAAGGCTCCTGGGGACCAGGGATTTATCTCAGTGGTTCCACTGCCTGCTTTGCAAGTGCAAGGTCCCAAGTTTGATCCCTGGTACTAAAAGGCTCCTGGGGTTGTAGGCTCACTCCCCAGTGCAGTGGTGTTCAGAGGTGGGCTCCCGATGGGCCACTGGGGCTCTGATGCCACTGGAAGGTGGGTCCATTGGGAGATTCATCATTTGATGGCATTATTGGAAGGAGGTGGAAACCTAGGCAGTGGGGCATTGCTGGATGGGGCAAGTCTTTGGAGACTGTTGTCTCTGGACCCCTCCTCACTCTTGTGCCCTCTGTGCTTCCTGGCCACCATGAGGTGAGCAGTTGTCCTCTACTACACCCTCCAGCCTCTGTTGGGATGCTTCTGCCTTGCCTTGGGCCTGGCAGCCATGGTGCCAAAACCAAGATAACCTTTTCTCCTATGAGAATCCCTGTGAGCAGTGTGGTGATGCTTGGGAAGAACTCCACAGAAGCCCCTGGTGAAACTTCCTGGCCTTGGCCTGGCTCTTCAGTTCAGAACCAGCACGGTCATACTGGAGTGTATATCTAAGCCCCAGCTGGTCCCTTGAACCACAGGTCCTGCTGGGGGGTGGCCCAGTGGGTCCCTGTCACTGAGTGACTCCTAGCATGCTTGCCAATGGTCCCGACTTCCCTGCAGGCAGGATGAAGACTGTGTAAGGATGTGTGTTAGTCAGCTTGTGTCTCAGCTTCTGCTAAGTCTCGTGCCAAAGGCACTTTGTCTCCCCTGGTACCAGTCTTTGCTTCTGCAGTACAAACTTCGGAGGACATGTCAGCCCCCAGTCGGACGTCCTGTCGAGGCAGGAAGAGGCGCTGAGAATCTCAGCAGAGGGGAGTCACCATCTTTAGGGACTGGACAGAAGAATACAGTACTGCCATCCTGGCTAGGGTGGGTGACTCACACCTGTAACCCCGGAACCCCACTCTTTAGGTATACGCCTTTACAGAAATTGTGTATGTTCTTCAGCACATTTGTGCACAGTAGGGCATGGTGATGCACACCTGTAATCCCAGCACTAGGAGGCTGAGGCAGGAAGATTGTAAATTTGACCAAAGTCTAGGCAACTTAGTGACTTAGTGAGATCCTGCCTCAAAATAAAAAGTGTTGGAGGTGTACCCTAGTGTAAGGGCTGAAGAAGGGGAGAGGGAGGAAGGAGGGAGGGAGGGCCTTTACCTACACACTTCCTCTTGTGTGTTTTTTTTTTCTTCTGGTACTGGAGACTGAATGAGAGGCTACCTCTGAGCTTCACCCAGCCCTTTTTATTTTTAGTTTTTAAATTGGAGACAAGGTTTTGCTAGGATGACTGGGCGCCTCCCCAGTTACTGTGCACCACCACGTCTGGCCTTCTGCTAGATTATTCAGTGTAAGGCTCGATACAATAGGATTGCTGCATAAACGGCTGTGCTGTTTAGGGAATAATGACAAGAAAAAAGTCTGCACATGTATTTTAGTAGAAACAGAATGTTTCTCATCAGTATTTTTGGGCTGCAGTTGGTTGACTCCTCTTGTAGTCAGCAGGATTGGGCAAGGGAATACATTAAATACAGGACACATAACTTATAAGGTTATTTTATGATAATTACCCAAGAGTCAAATGTAAGGAGTACAAGAGATTAACCACACATTAGAAGCCCTAAACATTCAGCTGAGGGCCTAGATCCCAGCAGTCTCCCACACAAGCCCAGCTGAAGGCTTAGAGTCCAAGGCAATGTCATCCTCAAGTCTAACCAGAGGTAGGATTGGGCAGGAATACATTAAATACAGGACACATAACTTATAAGGTTATTTTATGATAATTACCCAAGAGTCAAATGTAAGGAGTACAAGAGATTAACCACACATTAGAAGCCCTAAACATTCAGCTGAGGGCCTAGATCCCAGCAGTCTCCCACACAAGCCCAGCTGAAGGCTTAGAGTCCAAGGCAATGTCATCCTCAAGTCTAACCAGAGGTCTAGAGCCCACAGCAGTGTCTCATGCTTGTCCGTATCAAGGATCTGCTCCTGGAAGGCCCAAGGCCAGTGGTGGAAGCCAGAAAATCTATGTTCATGAGATGAAGGATTTGTGCCACCAGGCTGAGGGATCCACATTGGAGCCAGGAAGTGATGCTCACAGTGAAGAACAGAGCTCCCCTGTTGAAAGCAGCAGCCACTCCCAGCAACAGCGAGGTCCTGAGCTCCTCTGACAAGAGCAGCCTAGTTCACCTCAGGAAAACCATCCACAGCAAGCTTCTAGAAAATCAGGCCCAGATCTTCCTCCCCAGCTCTCTTTTTATGGCTGTTGATAGCAATCTTCAGGGGGATCTTCCACGCCCAGACCACGCTGATTCAGTTCAGCTGGGTGTTATAAGTTAACCAGTAGTCAGTCCACTACAACTCCCCAGGTGGGAAAGCCGTGGATACCGAGGGCACCCTGGATACTTCTTGGGCAGTGTTGAAGTAAGTTTGCACTGGCATCAGGAAGGCAGGAGATGAGCTTTGCGTAGCTAAACCTGTGCCCACGTGTCTGGGGCTCTCACCTGTGCAGGCAGCTCCCTCCCACCCTGTGCACAGACCACACACGCTTTCCTCCCTCCTGCAGGATCTGAGGCTTGGCTGGCTGCACCAGCTGCTGCTTCTCTTTTCCCTCCAGTACTGGGGACTGAAGCCAGGGTCTTTTCACTGAGCTGCACCCCCAGCCCTTTGTATTTTTATTTTTAAACAGGGTCTTGCTCAGTGTGCTTAAGCTTGCCAGCTGGGCCTGAACTTGCAGTTTTCCTGCCTTAGCCCCCAGAGAGCTGGAAGTGCAGGTGTGCACCACTGCACCTGCTTGCTCACACCACCTTTTGGCTATGCCCTAAAGTTAAAACGACCCATCAAAACAATTTTTCATCAAAAAGCAGTTAAGAAAATTAAAGTGCAAGCCTGGGCTTAGAGTCACAGTACCTATAGCTGACAGAAACTTTGCATCCAGGATACAGAAGGAATCCCTCCAGCTCCTGTCTAGGTGGAGGACAATCCAGTCTTCAAAGTGGGCAGAAGACGTGAGCAGATGCCACACAGAAGGAGGCATGAGGATCCCTTGTTGGCAGAGGAAAGCAGTCAAAGCACCATTTGCTAGTGGAGAAATAGGCTAAAGCCACAATGAGATGTGACTTCACACTACTGGAAAGGCACCACTGCGGGCCCTGCCACTGGGGACAGGCAGCTGCTTTACACATAGGCCAGCACCCTGCACATCCACATGGTACATCATCACCAAGAAGCCTCTGACAAGAGTACCTACAAGAGCTTCACCCCTGAGAGCAGAAGGTGGGAGGAGTCCTGTGTCCTTTGGCAGGTGGTGGAGGCGCTGAGTGACCCTCAGCCACTAGGGGAACACGGCGCTCTGTTTTGTGTGGGCGAACCTTCAGGGCAGAGGCATTGACAGGAGGGGACTGGAGGGAGCTTTCTGCTGTATCTCAGCAAAGTGAGTTGCCCAGGAGCTGTGCTTACCAAAGGCAGTTGGACCGGATCCCTGACCGTGCGAGTTGCTGTCCGTCAGCCTCACTCATCAGAAGAGCCAGGCTGACCCGGCTCAAACCTGATGTCCTGCCTGTATCTCCAGGCCGAGCCCGCTCCCGGGCTGGGCCTGCTGCTATATTTGCCCTGGCGCCACTGCTGTGGTTTAGGGGTGTGGAGGGTGCTGAAAGCTTGTCCTGCCAAGGCTGCCATCCTCCAGGGAGACTATTATCACATGTTATCTATCTCTTTCTCTTCTGTTATGAGGCAGGGCTTGCTGGGGATGGGACCTCGTCCCTGTGCATGCTCCCAAACACCTAGCACTGATCCACTCGCCAGCCTGTAATTTCCCTTCTTTGAAGTCTCCTCCCGTAACTTTTCATCTTCTGATAATTAAAGGAAACTGTAACAAAGTGATTCTTAACTAATCTTAATCGTCATCGGGCTCAGGATCATCGGTACAGGTCCTTCCCAGGTCCACGCCTCACCAGCATCAGTGCCTGTCTGGGAGGGCCATCATGGGGCCCAGGCTGAGGCGCAGATCTCCGAAGGGCTCTGGGCATTCGCCACTATTTTGCCCACAGTGTGGGAGGCACCATGAAGCGCCGGGCAGGTGGCAGAGCTGCTCTGTCCTCCACCTGTCCAGGTGCACACCTGCTGCAGACCAACTGCCATGTGTCAATAGTATTGGAGGGCTCAGCGCCAGCGCAGCCGCCGCCTCTTCTGAAGTAGAAAGTCACTGTTCACAGGAGAAACTCTTAAGACATCATTACAGCATAGGTGCCTTTCCTGTATTGTCCTGTAGGAGCCATAAAGCTGACCAGCTTGGCGTGTGGAAACCAGCACATCTGGGCCTGTGATTCCAGGGGCGGAGTTTACTTCCGGGTCGGCACCCAGCCTCTGAATCCCAGCCTAATGCTCCCGGCCTGGATTTCCATTGAGCCGCCTACCCAGGTAGGTGGTGTCCCCCAAGCTCTTGCTCCCAAGAAAAGCAGGAGCTGCAAGGGGTGGGTGCTGGGCAGAGGCCCATGGCCCCACAGGCCGCTACACAGGGCTGCTCACAGGCTCAGAATCGGAACTGATTGTTAAGGGTTATCTGAGTAAATGCTTGAGTTTTTCCATGTAAAAGTAAAAATATTTATATCTGAGTTTTTGCAAAATGAACCTTATTTTTTCCAAATCAAACAATACCAGGTGGGTGTGATGGCACTTACCCTCAATCCAGAACTCTGGGGAGCTGAGGCAGGAGGCTTGAGAGTTTGAAGTCAGCCTAGGTTCTGTAGGAACTCAAAAAATATTTGAAAAAGAAAAACCAAATATTCAAGGTGTAAAGAAGGCAAAAGTGATGGAAAATGTGATGGAGTTGTGTCCAGTTAGTGTCTTGTGAGCACCTCCCCAGTATAAGATTGTCTGCTGCTGGTCTGAATGCCTCTGCCCGGCTCCTGCTGATTTCCACTTGCAGAGCCCAAGTGGAGGTCTGGTTTCTCCTGGTTCTGATGCCTCAGACCTGTGGGTGTGGTTCCTCCATGTGTGTTCTCCTGGAGTCTGTGACTTGGGCCATGGCTTCGTGAGAGCCTTCTGGTCCCCATTCTGTGACTTTGCTGGAGAAGACTGGAAGCTGCCACGTGTGGAGGTAGCAGTGGCAGGATGAGGCCCCTGCAGTGGAGATAGCAAGATCTAGAGTGGGCTAATTGCCTAGGCTCCTGGCTGTACATTTTGGGGATGTGGATGAGGCCACTGAGGTAGAAGCACACAAGGTGCACCTGTGGTGACATCATCAGGTATGTGACATACTGCAGTCCCAGCTACTCTGGGGCTGAGGCAGAAGGATCTTTTGAATCCTGGAGTTGGAAATCAGCCTAGGCAACATAGCCAGACCCTATTTCAAAAAACAAAAACTGGCCTAACTGCCAAGTAGGCCACTCACCAGTGGGTGTGGCTGCAGCTGGGCTCTTCTCTGTGGGTTGCAGGAGGGCAAGTGTCACAGTGGGGACTGCGGTGCACCGTGGATTATGAATTGCTGTGTGTCGTCCCCCCCGTCATGTGTCAGGCACTGTGACCCTCACACACGGTGGTGTATCATAAGGCACGCCAGGCTGCCTCCACAGAGAGCATCTCCTGCCTTGTCAGCAGCAGCTGTGCAGTGACAGTGACAGCAGACTGACACACGGGGGACCCTTTGCCGGCCCTCCAGCCCTGCTGAGGAAGGAAGGAGGGGAGAAGTGCATGCCCCACCCTATCGCCCTGGTAATGAGTCCCTGGGTTCAGTCCCCAGGGATGAAAAGTGTTGAGTCATGCACCGTGAAGTTCACCTGATGGCCCAGTAACCCTGTAGTGAGGTTGTGCGACAGACTTGTACTGTCCAGGGTTGGAATGGTTTCCTCACGCAATGGAGAGACCCAGCCTCAAGAGCATCACAGCCCTCACTGCCCGCATCTAGCTTCTGTTCCATGGACTTCCTGTCAGTGCAGCCCCATAACGTGGCCTTCGGGTGGCACCTTTCTGAGTACTGTGTTTTCAGAGCTCATCCATGCTGTGTCCCCATGTGCCCATTCCTTCCTCCTCTTTGGGCCTAATGACGCTGCCCTGAGCAGAGGCCTTCTTTTGTTTACTTTCAGCAGCTGATGGCTGCCACATGGCTTATTTCTGTTCTCAGGACACTGTGTGATCAAGTGCTGGGAGGATGTGTTTTCTATCCTGGTAAGCTTATGCCTGGGTGCTGTTGCCTAATCCAGTGTCATAACGATGTACACAAATGTTTTTTAGGAGTTTTATAGTTTTAGTTCTTCTGTTGAGGTGTTTCATGCACTTTGCATTAATGTTTATGCTATGAGTAGGTGCCCAGATTCATTTTTTCACGTGTGGATAGCCAGGTACTGACATCGTTTATTGAGAAGATTGTTCCTTCCCCATTAAATTACCCTGACGCTTTTGTCAGAGTCCGCAGATCATAGGCACAGAGCTTTATCACCATACCCTCAGCTCTGACCCGAACCTATACGCACTGTCCTGTGTGCACAGCCTTGTTATAATTTTGAAATCCGGGGATCAAGAGTGCAGCTTTTTCAAGATTGTTTTGACTACTCAGAGTCCCTCCTATAACCATGTGAATTTTCAACTATTTGTTAATTTCTGCCCCCAAAAAAAGCCAACTGGAATTTCATCAGGAATTGCCCTGACCACTGACAGGGGGTGTTGCCATCTCCCTGGATGGGTCCTGGCAGTCCATGAGCTACCTTTCCATTTATTTACATCTTTAATTACACTCGGTAAAGTTTCAGTTTTCAGAATATATATTTTATACTTTGTAGTTAAAGCAACTCCTGAGTTCTTTTGTTTGATGCTAACATGGAATAATGTAGAATTGTTACCTTCAGATAGTATAGATTTGAGTTTTTATTTTTCTAGGTTTTGTTTTGTTTTGCTTTGAAGCTGTTGTTTGGTTTTTGAGACTACATAGTCCAGGCAGGCTGGATTTGAATTTGTAATCCTCCTGCCTCAGCTTCCCAAGTGCTGGGATTATGGGCGTGTACCACCACAAATCTGCCTGATTTTTGTATGTTGATCTTGTGTCTGGCAACTTTACAAAACTTATTTATTTATTTACTTACTTATTTTGGACCAAGCTGCTGCTTGTAGAACGAAGAGCAGCACGATTTTATTCATGTGCTGAAGCGGGTGAAAGTTCAGTAGTTCCCATTAGCCAGAGCCAGGTTTCCAAGCTATTTCTTCTCATGAAGGCCTTGGACCACTGGTGACCACAGGCAGCTCCCAGTGGTCGAGTTTTCTTGTGCCCTGCTGCGGTGGGCTGACAGTGGTCAGCTGCGCTTAGGTCTGCCAAGCGGCCCTGTCCTGGGCAGATGCCTGCCTGTGGACGGGGCTGAGACTTTCTTGCCCTTTCTCGCCTGATCTTGGAGTTGGCCAAGATGTCCTGTAGCAAGTGAAGGACTCGCCCTCTTCAGAAGTCCACCTCTCCTTTCCCATCCCAGTTGCCTTAGGCAGCCAAGGTCCCGGACACAGCACCCCAGGATGCCTCTGGAGGCCCCTTACTCTTTTTTTGGATCTGGCTGCTCTTTTATGTAGATCCTCGAGTTACGAACAGCCTGACATCCAAACAACTTCTGACTGGAGTTTTAGTTTTCACTTACAACCAAGTCTTGAGTTATGACCCAGATGTCATCTGCTCATGCTTCCAGATGGTCTCAGATACAGATTTAACCCTTAGAGAGCTCTGGAAGGAACATTATGCATCCTTTCCTGTGTGGGGCTAACTGAGAAATTCTGGCCCAGCATCTCTCTTGAGATCCGCCTGTGCAGGAGAGGGACAGTGAAGGCTGTGGAGAGGAGCCTGAGCCTCACCTGACCAACTAGAGTTACAACCAGCCTCGAGAATGAATTGAGTTTGTAAGTCAGGGGTCCACTGTACATTCTTCAGGATTTCTCATGTACGAGATTACATCTGCACACAGACATCACTTTACTTCATTTTTGCTTTTTTGAGACAAGGTCTTGCTCTGCATTTCAGGCTGCCGTGGACTCACTGCGTAACCCACGCTGGCCTCGAACATGAGGCAGTGTTCTCACCTCAGCCTAGGTCGCGGGTGTGTGCCACCACACCCGGCTAAGATACTGAGTTTTATCCAGTGCTTTTTCTGGGTCTTTGGAGATGACCGGTGGTCTTCCTTCGTCAGTCTGTACTGTATTTGTTTTTAATGTTGAACCACGTCTTTGGGTGTCAGGTTGTGCTTGCTCGTGTTTGTTGAGAGTTTTTGTAACTATATTCATGAGGAATCTTGATCTTTGGTTTCCTTTTCTTGTTGAGAATTTGCCAGGCTTGGTATCAAGGTAATGCTGGGCACTTAAAATGCTTTTCCAAGTGTTTTTTCCTCTCCTGCTTTCGGGGAGAGTTTGTGAAGAGTTTGTTAAAATTTTCTATGTAGGCCTGTGGGCCTGGGGTTTTTAGGGAGCTTTTTCTTTCTTATGTTTTATTGATTCAGTCTCTGTCATTGTTCTAGGTCTAGTCAGGATTTCTGGTTTCTTCCTGATTCAGTTGGAGCAGCTTCTGTCTTTTCAGCAATGATTCATTTCCCCCATGTTACCTAATTTATTGGCATTCAGTTTATAATATTCTCATAAGCTTTTTTATTTCTGTAAGGATGGTAGTAAAGTCCATTCTTATTTCTGACTTTAATCATTGTCTTCTCTCTTTTTCTACGTACAGCCAAAGATTTATCAATTTTGTTGATCTTTCCAAAGCCATCTTTTAGTTTTGTTGATTATCTCTGTGGTTCTCCTATATTTTGTCTATTTCCAGTTTTCTTTTTTAGTGACATCATGAATCAGATTTGGAGGTGCTCTTATCACTAAGCTACATTCCTACCCATTTTTTAGTTTTGATTTTTTGAGACGGTATCACTAAGTTTCCCAGGCAGGACTTAAACTTGTGATCCTCTTGCCTCTCCCTCTTGAGTAGCTGTGTCGCTGTGCCTGGCACCCAGTCTTAATATTCCCCACATACATTCTGGCTCATGGTACTTTGAGGATGATGTTATTCTGAGAGCTCTGCAAAGTCTTTGTCCCCAGTGAGAGCCTCGTGTGAGCTCCAGGGAGCACAGCCGAAGGGGAGAGCTCTGACTGGAGTCCCCTTCACTGTAGTCGCTAACAGCTCTGCCCAGGAAAGTAGCCAAAGCAGGACAAATTCACACAAAAGGACCTGGAAGTGGAGCCTGGATGAAGCAGTGACTGCTATTTACACGCCTTTCTGAGGTAGCTCTGCTGCCCCTCGGGTAGCTTCTCGCAGGCTATAGAAGAATCTCCCTCTGCCCGAAATGCATGTGGTGTCAGTGCTGTGGGGAGAGTGAGCTGCCACCTGTGCCGTCACCATGCTGCTGTCTTAGACGCCATTTTCACCTTGGAAGTGGGAAAGCCAGGACTGCTTCTCCTGGCTTGACAAG